TACGATTCACAGTGGCGTGATGTACAAGGAAATCATAGTTCCAACGGATATTAATATTCTTAAGATATATTACAGATTCCATGCTATGTTTCTACTTCTCTGCATTAGTGATGGGCGATACGGGTCAATGTATCGATACTGCATATCGATTCGTATCGGAACGTGGCGTATCGGTGCGTGTATCGTAAAGATTCAATAATTCCATTTCTCATAAGGTTAACATGGGAAACTCCAGAGCCACTGGGGCGGAGCCCGAAAGGATTTTTGAAATAAGAATATGCCTATATGTTAATCGGGAATGTGAGCTATCATCATGCCAAATTTCAGCCCAATCCGACCAGTATTTTTCGAGTTTACTTTTCCCATACACACATACAGCAACCACCTCTTTTTTATAATAGTATAGAAGATAGATAGATATCTCAAATATTCAAGCTGCATAGACAAATACTATGTTACTCACAAGCTTGAAAAGAGGGTTATTGCTTGTAATCTTACCTCAGAAAAGCCGTTTCCTTCCTGTGTCTTTTTATTTGTATCAAACATACATACATAACCTCCAAATTCCGGTAAACCCTCAAAATTGGAAAACATTTTGTTATTGTTTTCCTAGTTTTTACACAGGGATAATTAATTGAACCAAAAAGTACTAATAATGATGGTGGGTATGCCACTTACACATTAAATAGTATAACATGGATAATGAGGGTCCCCACTTCCATTAATGGTGGCCCTAGTCACGGCCGCCTTTAACTACAGGCCGCGGCCTGGTAGAATTGGCAACATCGCAAGTGGTATGTTGTTCAGTGACAGACGTCCCATAAGATAACATGGCAGTCAGGTGACATCAGCTCATTAATTCGCACTTTAATGATTTAAATTTATGAACATAAATTTATTAAAATTTTGAAAATAAAACATACAGAATTGAAACCCGAAACGATATGAATTAAAATCTATATCTGTACATTTTTAAGCGGAGTCAATATTGTCATAGTCCAGTAACCAATCTTTCGTAAATACACAAATAATACCATTAGCTACTTCCAAACAAAAACAGCTGTTACAACACCACTTGCGACGTTGCCAGTTCGAAGGCCGCGGCCTGGAGTTAAGGGCGGCCGTGCCCTAGTTTTGAGGTTTTTTTGCAAAACATAGCTGAAAATACATGTTTTATCAGTGTTTTTGAAGATGCTAGGGTAAAATATCAAATTTCCACTACTACTTTTGAGGGGAGGAAGATGGGAAGACAAATTTCTTACCATAAAAATAAGATTTATATTAATAAATAAACAATACGATATTCGATACGATATTGGCTATAGGTGTATCGATACGGGCATATCGATACACTCCCACGTATCGATACAAAATATCGATATTTTGAGGTCCTTGTATCGATACGCACATCACTACTCTGCTTATGTCGGTGCAACTCCACGGCTTTAGTGGTGCTTTGGAGAAAGGTTAAGCTGCTGTCGTCTAACTTCGTGTCACCGACTCTCAAGAGGATACAAGGATTTATCTCATCATCTCCAAATCAAAAGTCACTCCTTTGAAAAGGATTTCTCCGCCATGGCTTGAACTTTGTGGCACTCACTTACTGGGAAAACTCATAAAATATTGTTCAAGAAGAAGATTGAATCAATCTATGCTTGTAGTGACTCCACTATTTTCCTCACATGGATACGTACTCTACTCTGTCTGCTCTTCAGCTCACTAATCAGCGGCTTTTGTAAAATTATAATTGATAATTTTTGTTGATAATCAGTAAAAAAATGTTGGCCTCTTCACCCTGTTCAGGGGAAAAAGTTAAGAAATAAAAAGTTTGTAAAATGTGGTTTGTTTTATTATTCTGTATTTAAAAGATATCGTTATTTATTAATGTGTTTTCAGCTAGACTTAGTGAATTATTTTCATAGTTTATCAAATGTTTAAGATATAACTAGTGAGAAAATGACATTATATATGATTTAAGTTCTAATTAATAGCACTATTATCTTTTTGTAGGCCTACTCACTGATCTCTTTGAAATTTTTTAGTTTATACACACTTTATGAATAAATAGCTTGGCGTACGTACCCAAGAGATGGGCTATGGGCCTATTGGCTGTATGGTCCAGCGATTGTAGGCTATCACACGGTGAGTAGAAACAGAAAGTGACACATTGGAAAAGCGAGTTTAGCGTCATCCGTAAACCTCTGTTACAATCACCCACTGCAGTTGTATTTTTTTTACTTTACACAATCGCCATTGAAGCGCCGTCAATGAGTGGAAACCTTTTTTGTAAGCTATTGGCGACGATTTAATGATCGATTTAATGAGTCCCAGCCCTATACAACACTGATTCAAGGTCTTCTTTCTGGTTATCAAAACTCAAGAACAATTTTATACACAAAGAATTTCTGATTCCTGACCTGGATGATGCCTAGTTATTTAATTTCATTTACGGTTACACTATAATATTGCACTTGCGATTAATTAAATCCGTTATTTAAGAAAAAACATTTTTAATCTCACTTGTTTGGGAAACATGATCGGAAATGGTTGCGGTATTTGTAATCAAAATTTGTAAACATATCAGTGACAGCTAGAAAAAATAATCTTGATTCGAACAGCTGTTCGTTATTTCATAGATGATTATGTGATAAAAATTTAACGAAAATTTGAGAAAAATCGTACAAAACTGCATTTTTGAACGTCCGTAACTTTATTTACAAAGTAGTGAGGAGCCATATTTTAATGGCCAAAGACACTCTCGCCAATCCAGTAAATACATTAAAATGACTTCGATTTTGATAGGTACTCTCGTTTTCATGGAGAAGATGGCGTAAAATGCCCTCTTGAGTGTTACAGACAGACAGACAGACAGACAGAAATTAAGATAAGACTTGTTTCTGCTTCTTTAATGTATAAAACGTAAAAATAACCTAAAAATATATAATTCTGTGCAATGTACAGACAAAACTCTAATTTTATTTATATAGATTTCAATCTTTATTTTTAATTTCACATCTATTTATTCATAGCATGCAATAATGTATCAAATAGACAATGAACCAGAAGTATTGAAAGCCAACAAATATAAATGTGAAAATTAAGTTACAAATGTTTTCGTTGGTTTCGTTTATACTACATCATAAAATAAACTCTATTGTATTTAATACAGGTCAATAATAATAAACTTAACGATTGCTTTATTGATATATGGGCTTATTCTAATTGTTAGTGAAGGGTGAATTTCCTTAGGCCAACCATAAAATTAGCAGTGTCCATTAGTGAGGTTAGGTCAGCAACTATCCTCTTGTTCATAATTTTATTTAGTACATTTTTGTACTTTTTAAGGTAAACAATCCATTACAGAAAGACATGTTGTTTTTAATTAAAAAAAAAAATAAATCATGCCGCGCTGCATCGAATCGAATCGCATAGATTCGAATCGAAATTCTTTGAATCGCATCAATGCATCGAATTGAAAAAAATATGATGCATCGCACACCCCTAATTTAAAGTATTATTAGTAACACATTTTAAAATAAAAATTTATGATTAACACGTTCGCTACTGAACCGAGGTATACATTTGAATCTTACACATAGACCGGCTGTCACTTGGATAACAGTACACACAGACCACGGGCGAAAACCTGTAAAACAGTGATCATTTACATTGTAATACGCTACAATCGTGTTTGTGAATAAATTATTCTTGTTTATTTGTATTTTTTATAACCTTTTTTAATGTCACATATTTGCTGGTCTACAGCGAAGACAATAGTGAAAACTATCATAGTTTTCTTGAAATCGACTAAACGTCGCATATATGCGACAGTTCATTTTTTTGTGTTTTAAGGTGAAAGTAAGTAAAGAAATAAACAGATTATTCAAGAACAGTTTATAACTGAACAAATATAAAAGCTACATAGGATAATGCAGCATACATACTGCATACATACATACAGTGATGCAGAAAAGTAAAGACCAGTTTTCCAAGTATTATATGACGTCACCAATCATCATATCCATAGACCAAGCGACGCAGTTGTGCGTCAGACATCTCTGTAGACCACTGCAGGGAATTCAGTGCCTTCAAATAGACCACTACAAAGATATAAGCATTTTAATAACATTAGAACCCCGACGCAAATATGCGTCGGCAGTCTATTTTAATGTGACTAGCCGTCGCATATATGCGACGGCAGTCTGTGGGTGGAAACCGGCCGTCGCATATGTGCATGGCTGGTCCATGTAAATGGAAAATTTCGTACTATTGCAGAAGCGAACGTGTTAAACATTTGTGAAGTGAAACGACTGTCTGTGCTGAGGCGTACGAGAAATACGGAATAGCTGGCCAGCAGAAGAAAACTCGTAATCTACCGGTTTCGCCTACCCAAAGCTTTAGTTAAAAAAAAGGTTGCGATAAAAAATCACTATCTCAATCAATAGTTGGTTGATTTATAATAGTAAGATCGTTTTCAGACCCAGACATCATTTGTCATCAAGCTATGAATTAATGATGCACTCTAACAAAACGGTCGATGTTAGATAGTTACATGACCAGAGTTTGGACCGTAAAACATAAAAAATGCCATTGGCGTAGAAAACAAACAAAATACAAAATGTATATAAAACTAAAATGCCGCTAAAAGTACTTAAATATTGTACAATAGCTAATGCTACAACAAAGTATCAGGTTACTTCCTAACACTGCCCATAATCTATAACGACCTTGGTTAACCTGGGGGCTTGGATAGCCAGTGCCTCGAATAATCGGGATTGTAATGTAATGAAGAACTCAGGAGATCCATTGTTGAAAATATTCAGCTGATTTTCTTGACAAAGCCGTTTTAATGTAAATTTTTATTTGAAAGTTTTCTTTTTAGGTTGTTGTTCGATTTTTAATTGGGGGGGGGGGGGGGGGGTAAACTAATACTGCTGAAAGTTATTATATATTTTTTGTAATAATTAAATTTGTTTTTGAACTTAACATTGTTTACTAACCTCTACTTTGCAAAAGCTGACAGGATTGGTGGCTAAGGTAGGTTCTGCCAAGTCCAACCAACAAGGACCTTTGATTTTCCTTTTCAAAAGAAGCAACTCTAGAAATGAGGAGTTGGTGCCAAATACATGAGCAATCGTCTCTCCTGTCAGATCCTTTGGTAACTGTGCCATGGTTGGCTGAAACAATCGACATAATTATTCATTAATGTGTTACTTAAAAATCAACACTTTGTATCCTTAATGTGTATTAATGTTAACAGTAGCAGCTAACTTAAACAAAATAGCCAAATGACTTTGTTGTGACTCAAACGGGTGGCCTGGTATTATTAGTACCGATAAATACTCACACTGGATAAGATGTAAACTTTTATTGAATAACTAAAAAGTGAACTGCCTTTTATAATAACTAGCTGTTACCCACGGGCTTTGCCCCTTTTGACTTCATAAGTATTAATAAAAATATTGATTGGCTAAGTTAAGCTGAAATAAACAAAACAGAATACAGTAATACAAACAAATTATCACACCTGATTTTAATCTTACTAATATTATAAATCTGAAAGTTTGTGAGTTTGTGTGTATGTTTGTGTGTTTTGTGTGTGTGTTGCTCAATCACGCATAAACTACTGGACGGATTGGGCTGAAATTTGGCATGCTGATAGCTCACATTCCCGATTAACATTAAAGCATATTCTTATCTCAAAAACCCTTTCGGGCTCCGCCCCAGTGGCTCTGTAGTTCCCCATGTTAATCTTATGAGTTTTCATATTTAAAAGGAATTAATGAATCTTAACAGCTGTCTCAATTAAACAAGTTGGTGCTGTTCTATGATGTTCAACAGCATAAAAGTTACAAGGATTACCAACAGGGTGCAGCACTATTAATTTCTTTGTTTATTTATGACAACAGCTAATTTCCAACCAAAAGGTGAGTGAGCGTAGCGAGCGAACTTCAACCTTGAGGCGAGTTAGCGCAGCGAACGAGCTAACCTGAAGGCAAGTGAGCGCAGCGAACGAGCTCCAACCTAAAGGTGAGTGAGCGTAGCGAACGAACTTCAACCAGGACGTGAATGAGCCATGCGAATACTTATGAAGTTAAACGGGGCGAAGCCCGCGGGTACAGCTAGTAAGGTAATAAATTGAAAGAATAACATACAAATAAGTACAGCTGAGGTATTTTTAACATTAGGTATATGAAAAGTTCCCTTTGGAAAGCAATTAGGACCTTATAGGGTAATTTATGAAATAATGGATAGTTTTGCGCGAGGTTTTTCGTTATGACTAACATTTTAAGTAGCCTATATGGTTTATGGGGGTGTGACTTGTAGTTTTCTCAAAAGTTCATGGGTACTTTGGGCTTTATATATGGATTTGTAGTGAACAACTAACTTGAAGAATGTAAAGGTGTAAACATGAACAATAAACATCTGTCTTGACCATTATTTGAAATGACATATGTAGTAAAGACAGACTCAGGGATATGACAGTCTCCCCCACTAATTAAGAACAATCTTTTTCAACTGGTAGTCTCTAAAATCTTGAGGGCATGCGACGCTCGCCCTGTGGTCTGGCATTGGTATTATCAGGTTGCTCACGATGTGGTATAACATTCTCAGCTTGAGCTCTTTCTGGAGATTGTACTTCTGGTTGCCTTGGTTCTGGAGCTGCAACTGGATCTGGATTCCTATATATTTCTCGTCGTCTTGGAATTCTGGGAACATCAAACGACTGCGTTGGTCCGAATGTAACATTTTTTTTGTTGGCCTCTGTACCAGCGTTGGGCGTAGTTGATTGATGTTAGAATTCTGGGAACATCAAACGACTGCGTTGGTCCGAATGTAACATTTTTTTTGTTGGCCTCTGTACCAGCGTTGGGCGTAGTTGATTGATGTTAGAATTCTGGGAACATCAAACGACTGCGTTGGTCCAAATGTAACATTTTTTTTGTTGGCCTCTGTACCAGCGTTGGGCGTAGTTGATTGATGTTAGAATTCTGGGAACATCAAACGACTGCGTTGGTCCGAATGTAACATTTTTTTGTTGGCCTCTGTACCAGCGTTGGGCGTAGTTGATTGGTGTTAGAATCCTGGGAACATCAAACGACTGCGTTGGTCCGAATGTAACATTTTTTATTTTTTTTGCCTCTATACCAGCGTTGGGCGTAGTTGATTGATGTGCCTCTATCATGAGTCGATTCTGAGTCGAGTGATTCTATCTGATGAGTCGAGAACTAAGAGATAGTGTCTTTTCCCAAGCTTCCTCTTTACTTGACCAAACTACCATGTGTTTTTATTATTGATGAAAAGTTTGACGAGCACTCTCTCCCCCACATATAGTGAACGTACAGGTGAAGACTGTGTAGTTGAAGGTTGAGGTTTGTACGGAAAAATGGCATTCAGTCATATCCTTATTTTTCTGTGCAGGTAAAGTTCTGCCAGGGACTGACCACAAGCTAGCGGTGTTACTCTGTACCTTTGTAAAATATTTTGAATTTTGGTTTGGATTGGAGTTTGGTCAGTTGAGACTGCTTTCAGGCGATTCTTTAGTGTATGGATTGATCTCTCGGCTAAACCATTTTTTGCCGGATGCCCTGGAGCGATGAATTTCTGGAAAATACCGTTTGTTTTGCAGTAATTTTGAAATATATCACTTTTGAAAATGGTAGCATTATCTGAAACAAGTACTTGAGGATATCCAGGACATGAAAAAATTCCTTCTAAAAGATTAATTGTGTTCGCACTAGTAGGTGAGTCTTTGATGACTTTTACCTCCGCCCATTTAGATTTTGCATCAACACACATGAGGAAATATGTATTATCAAGCGGTTTTGCATAGTCGATAGGAAACCTTTCCCAATTCTCTTGTGGTGTATCTCACGGATGTACAGGAACTTTGGGAGAGCTGAGACATGTGAGAGCACATTTTTCACATCCTTTGACAATACGTTCTATCTCTTTGTCGATACTGGGCCAGTAAACGTAGCGGCGGGCCAGCTGTTTCATTTTTGTTATACCTAGATGTGTTTAATGAAGTTCATTTAAGATTGATGGTCGTAAGCTTCTTGGAATAATGACACGATCTTGGCAAAATATAATCCCGTCAACCAATGTATACTCTGTTTCATCAGACTTGTTTTTGAGATCTTTTACAATTCTTGATAAGTCTGGATCCTTTTCTGTTTCACTCCTTATTGTTGAAGCGATTATGTGTTCATCTGACATCTCGAAAATCATTTGTTCGTATACTTGGTTGACTTCATTGACAATGATTTCATCAACAGTCGAATTTACTTGCTGAAGTGTAGCTCTTGAGAGGCAGTCAACATTTTCATTTTCCTTGCCAGGTTTGAATTTTAATGTGTAGTTGAACCCGGATAAATATGATGCATATCGGAATAAACGCCCTGATGTCATTTGAGGGAGTGCTTTTTTGTGCTGGAAAATCTGTGAAATAGGTGCATTGTCAGTTACTAGTTTGAAGTGAGTCCCAAAAAGGTAACAGTAGAAATGTGACACGCCAAAAATAATAGTGTCTGTAGTTAGTACTAGAAGGAGAGCCGGATCTAAAGGTTTTTTTTCCTAGGATGCTAGGCAACAGGCCTGGGATTGTTTTTCACATTACTTCAGGCTGGACCTAGGGGTTGCGACCAGGGGTGCCCAGAGGGGGGGTACTGTGGCGCGTTTGCGCCACAGGAATTTTTGGGGGGGCTTTTTTAAGGGGATTTTGGGGGGAGATATTTTTTTGCTAGCTGTCATAATGAATGAATAATTTTGTATAAGCAGCCCGAAAAAAGTTTTTCTAAATACGGTAGTTCACTATCAACACCAAGAACATTTTGCCATTCGTAATTAAGATTGCTTCTAAGAATGGTAAAAACGCATCTTGTTAGACAATCCTTAACATGTACGGTGGGGTCAAATTTTACTTGCTACATATGTTTTAGCGGTTGTTTAACTCAACGATCGTCAGGTTTACAAAAATATCCACTTCTGGAGGTGTAGTCAGAGTAAGTTACGATAATTTAAAGCAAAATGATTACAGATAGGAGATAGGCCATCAATTCAAGCGTGTACATTGCCTTCGGCAAGACTGGAAGTAAACTGAATCAGGATAAGGTTATGATGGACCGACGTGGCGACGTGGTCTCTGGATTGTCGTCTGCGTTTTCAACAGCTGATATTGGACTATTGTAGTGAAAGTGACTGAGAAGAGTGTTGAAAATATAATTGGATTCATATTTAATGAATGTTTTCATTAAACATTTGTGTGCTGTCCCTAGTATTATGTATTTAGATATTTCAAACTCTTCCAAAGTAATTAATAAATTTCCTTTCACGCAGTAATGTAGAATTTTGAGACCATCATTTATATCCAGCATATTAATATTAATATTAGGTTATTGTTGTCAATAATTTTGAGTGGAATACTCAATTATTAATCCCTTTATATTTTCAACACTCTCCTGCTCCTCCGTCACTACACTACAATTAGTCCAATATAAGCTGTAGATAACGTGATCGTTGTAGATAGGACAGACGACAATCCAGAGACCACGTCGGCCCGCCATAACATGATTCACTTTACGTCCAGTTCTGCCCGCGGCAATGTACCCCCTTGAATTGATATGCCTATCTGTTATCTTTTTGTGTTTTTGTTTAATGTTTGTAACATATTCTGAAGAAACCTCCAAAAGTGGATCCTTTTGTAAGCCTAACGATGGTGGAGTTAAAGAACCGCCAAAACACTACCATTATTAGTCATAAAACGCAAACCTGGGGCTATTAAAATGAGTTATAAGATTACCATACCTCGTCACAAAACCTTTTGTGGTGCTTGTATTGTGGGTATTTTGCCCGGCGATTATTGTAGAAGGCAGCCTGGGAGTGGCAAACAACGCCTCGTAAGTCTGCCCTATTTAGTGACCTAATTTTGAAACAAGATACTTTTTACTATTCGTGCAATTAAAGTTATTTGAATTCTTAAGCCCAATAATTTACACCACCTAAATATATTGTACAGTTACAGTACTGTGTTGGAGTAGAGTAATTCACTGAGTATAGTGTTGAACGTTTTGAAGACGTTGCCTTTAATACTGAGCGCGTGTTGGCTGACAATACAGATTCTAATAATTGTAAATTGAAAAACTTATAATTCGTCCATTAAATAGATATAACTTTG